AAAGAAGTTGTTACAAGATGGAACAGCAGGCAAAAAAAAAAAAAGCCAGGCTTGTTGGCGCATGTCTGTAATCCCAGCAGCCTGGGAGGCTGAGGCAGGAGGATCACAAGCTCAAAACCAGCCTTAGAAACTTAGCAAGACCTTGTCTCTAAGTAAAAAATATAAAAAAGGACTGGGGATGTGGCTCAGTGGTTAAGCACACCTGGGTTCAATCCCTGGTACAAAAAAAAAATAAGTAAAATTAGAAAAAAAATGACTATTACATATGTATTTGGCTAGATCTTAGGAAGAAATATTTCCCTGACCCCTGAGTTCTATTTACTTATAAAGGGGAAGGAATTCAACCTTTTGAAGCCACCTTGTTGGAAATCCAGAGGCTTGCCTTTTGCTCCTAGTTTTGCAACTAACAGAAAAATAATCTTAGGCAAGTGGCTTTGCCTCTCTCTTGTTTCCTCATCTATAAAGTGAAGTGGACTGGTTGCACGTCAATATCCCCTGAATGTGAAATTTTACATGATGTCCTTAAAACAGAGGGCATTTCCTTCTCAGGCTTAAAGTACTTCATTAACTCCCTACTGTCCTCAGGATGAAACCCAAACTCACTTTCAAAGCCTCCCAGGGTCTTCCTGATCCAGCATCTATCTTGTGGGGCTCTTACATGTGAACATACATGTTGTGCCTCACCTAAAAGGAACCTCTTTTAGTTCCCCAAATTTGCTTGGGTTTGACCTTTGCACAAGCCAAGCTTCTTGCTGAGGATGTTTTGTTCTCCCTTTTCTCTCCTCTCCACTCTTTCTCTCAGTTTACCTACCTAACTTTACTCCTCCTTCTGGTATCCCCCTAGCTGTTATGTTACTTCCTCCAACATTCCTCTTGTCTGGCAGATTAGCATTCCTTAGGCTAAACTCCAATAGCCCCTAAGTTTCCTCAAGCATACCACTACGTTGTTGCTTTTGATTACTGATACACTTGCCTTCATCCCACCCATCAGCCATCACATCTAAGAGTGTGGAGTATGTCTTGCTCCTGCCGCATCCTCCGAGTCTGGCATGGAGAGTGGAATATAATGGCAGTTCAATAAAAATGGTTGAACAAACATTGCAAAATGAAATCTTTATACTTTGCCACTTAAATTTGTAGCTCTCTGTCAATTGTCTTCAGATATCCTTTACATCCACCCCAGGCTGCACGTCAGCAATGACAGGATCCTGGCTATCAAAGGAGAATTGCTTCATCACTTGGAAAGCTGTGTTCCACACATTGTGGCTGCATGTGTGGCAGGATTGCCTTATTTTTAGATAAGTATCAAATCACTGAGGATATCTAGGTTTTCATTTAAAAAACCATCAACAGACACTGCTTCATGGAGTATCTGGAAGAAGCATGAGAATTGGTTCTAGAGAGAGAAAACACTAATAATAATAATAAAAACAACAGCCAGATGAATAAGATGTTATACTCTATTTATGTATGATGTGTCAAAATGCATTCTACTGTCATATAAAACTAATTAGAATTAAAAAAATATAAAAAGAAAAAATAATAATGACTAACATTTACCAAGTGTATTACATCTTTTAATTTTTACAAATTATCTTATTATAAAAATATAATTATTTGTCTCATCTTATAATTTTGGAAACTAAAGCAGATAAAATAATTTGACCAAGGTGTGAAATCAAATCCATGCTGTTTATCACAATTATATACCTTAAAACAGAGGGCATTTCCCTCCTTCCAATTTATGGATTTATTAACATGATTTTTTATTCCAAAAACATACTTAATATAAGTTGCAAGAATATTTTATATTAAAATTAAAATCTGAATTTTAAAAAAATTAAGGAAAGGTGTATAAATAAGAGATGGAGAGAAACAAAATGTACATACAAATCCCCCTAAAAAAAAAAAAAAAAAACCTCTACGAGCTTGTTAAAATATTTGTTCTAAACATTTACGCAGTTAGCAGGAAAAGAGAAACCTGATAGTCAGTTACACAATTTACATTAACCATGAGATAACACCTGACCACTTGCTCCAAATTGCCTCATTTTATAGATGAAAGAACTGAGGTTCAAAACAGTTATCCAAAGCTGATATCCCAGAACCCATGAAACTAGATTGCCTAACTCTTTGAGCATGAAAAAAAATTCATTAAAGCCTATAGTTTAACCTGACATTCATTGAATTTTTAGTTGGAGCAGACTATAAGCTAAGCACTGTATGTGAATGAACTCAATTCATCCACACAGAATTCTGAGTAGCTGTTATGATCTAGTTGAAAATTTAAGGATTTTTGTGGTTCAAACCTCTCTCCGAGGTCATTTGAAAATGCATACCTTCTGTTTATGTTTTGTTTAATTTTGCTGTTTTCCTACCACTTCAAGAGACTGATCTCTTGGGGCTGGGGATGTGGCTCAAGCGGTAGCGCTCGCCTGGCATGCGTGCGGCCCGGGTTCGATCCTCAGCACCACATACAAACAAAGATGTTATGTCCGCCGAAAACTGAAAAATAAATATTAAAAATTAAAAAAAAAAAAAAGAGACTGATCTCCCTTGAAGGTCAGAGGTTTACACACAGCTTGATGGCCCAGAATACTTCTTTATTTAAACAAATGCTATTTCCAACAATTTTGAATAAGAATAGGTGAAAGAGGGTCTGAGAGAGCCCTAATATGATACGGAATGCAATAATGTAGCCAAGGTAGATTTAGATTGCAACAATGTAACAGGTCCAGGCAAGCAGTGCTTCTGTATTCTCAGAGGCTGGTATAAATGGCTTTATGATCAATTCCACAGAATGATTGGGAGTATTGGAATTTGGGGACAAACAGCTCCAACTTCAAGCCCCCATTCTGCCACTTACTAATTGTAGGATTATGAATGATTTCCATTGAGTCCTATCCTTTCATCTGTAAAATTAAGATGAAAATAATTATACCTACCCCTTAGGTCCCTGGGAAGAATAAATGAAATAATAAATGTAACATACTAAGCAGAGTCAGGT